TTTTCCACTGCATCATGACTTTATATTCTATACTGGACATTATTTCTGTTAAGTTGTCTGAGCAAAGTCAGACTTTACTGTCCTAATTAAATTATTACAAATCAAGCCATGTTCATATTTTATTTAGTTAAAATAAGCGTAATCTAGAGGCCGTTCGTATCAGCCACTTCGGATACCAAAAAATCAACTAGAAGTCAAGATTTTATTTGTTTTTCCTAAAATGTGGATAGGCGACAAGACTTTTGTCAGGTTGTGTATATGTATGTGTTTTCACACACAGTATTGAACAGTTGTTGTCCGCTGCTCCTGCTGTTATGGATGGACACTGCTAGCATTTTCAATTAAAGAGATTTCGATTGAATCTTAAATTTGCTACACAATTACTATTTTTCTGTTGTTTCAGGAGAGGACTGAGCTTAATACTTAAAAGTTTATCACACCGTTACCTAAATATCAAGTTTTTATTTACTCATCATCAAGCGCTTAATTTGCACCACAAGAAGCTCTTCAGTTCTGTAGCTCATTGTGACAAAACACTTATAAATATTAATTATTATATTATATTTTATTATATTATATTATATTATATTATATTATATATTATATTATATTATATTATATTTTATATTATATTATATTTTATATTATATTATATTATATTATATTATATTATATTGTATTATTATATTATATTATATTATATTATATATTGTATTGTATTGTATTGTATTATATTATATATATTTATTATATTATATTATATTATATATATTATATTGTATTATATATATATTTTATTGTATTATATTATATTATATTATATTATATTGTATTATATTATATTATATTAACACTTAAATATATAAATAATCACTGTTCTGTTCAAATAAATAACTATTTCTGTTGAAAAAAAACAACAACAAAAAAAAATAAGCACTGGACATGTGCTGCTTATTTTTAAATAAATATTCACACTAAGTAAGCTTTGGATGTGATTATTCACAATTAATCTTTTTAATAGCCAAAAAAACTATTACCAGGAAAAAAAATCATGGCGTGTTCAATACTTATTTACTTGCTGCATATGCCAAAGTCGTAAGTTATTTGGTATAATCTGGTTTGCAATGGCTGGGTTTCACTGTGCATTGTAGCTCTTTCCCTCCAGTGAGAAGTAAATCAGCTAAGCGTTCACATCTTACATGAGCCTGAGATGAGATGCAAACACTTGAGGGATCTTTAAGGAAACATGACTCATTCTCCATCAGCGAGATCTGCAGGTCCCCCCGCTTGACGTGATTTGGGCTTCAGTTTACTGGCAAGAGATCCTCAATGATTTCTTGGCTGGTGTCCAGTTCTGCCAAGGCTTGTTATGTTGTGTTTTCTGATTTGATGCATTCAGCAGTGTCTGCTGCTCAAATGCTCCTCTCGCTCAGACCAGCTAAGCTCTGGTGGTCGATAAAACCAACAACAGGCAATTATATAGTCGGCAAGAAGCATTTTGGACTGTCGGCTCTTTGTTAAATGTGATGGAAGGACTCCTGTTGCATAAATGTTTAAAGGTTATGTGCTGTAAGTTTTTCTGTATCAACGCTCTTCTTCATTTCTGCATTTTTAACGGCTTCTCATACTCTCATAACAACATTTTCTACTTTTTCCCGAATGTGTTTTTATGTCTGGCTGTCTGTCCTTTTTGCTTGGTTTTACTTGGCTTCCTGATGATTTGGTGGCATCAGATCCATGACTTAAAGTAGAAGTAAAATCAAAACTAGCCCTATTGATTTTATTAGCGCACATTGCTAGTTTTGTGGTGAACAAATAATCTGTGCATGTCATTAGGAGAAACTAAATAGTTTGCCCTTGTAATCTTTAATTGAAACCTGAAAATGCACTTCCTGTTTGTTTTCAGTTAAATTCTCAGATGACGTCTGTCTGAGGTGTTGGGCGTGGCTAACATACTTAACCACACCCCCTCCAACTGACAGCTTTAACAACAAACAGAAATGATGAGCAGGGGTCCGTTCTTCGTACCTCGCTTAAATGATCTAAGATGATTTGGCAGATCCTGGATCTTTTAATCTTGATAACTGATCTCTGGCTAATTTGGTTCTTCAAACAAGTTCGTGAATCAGATTAGAATGTCTGGATAAACTGATCTGAGATCGCTGCGTGTGTTGTGAAGGACAGATCTATCGATCCTCGAAATCATGATCAGCAATGCAACGATTGGCTGACGGCACAGCAGCGTAATGACATCATCTGATTAATATTCAATTATCCACGTGAGCAAAATTACATCAAATTAGCAGTAAACGGCTTGTTAAATATGACACGCAATAACCTTCCACATTTGTTGTGAGCTGCAGGCTTTACACTGTCATGTGTCAAGACAAGTGTATTCATCATGTATTTCAATGCAAATCAGTGTATTTAGTTCCACATTTAGAAAAGATTTTCTTTATTATAGTAGCCGTTTTTTAATCGGTGTAAAGAATAACTGGTTGTTTACAAAAGCGTTTTCATATTGGTAAAGGCGTCTGCAACTTTTGTGAAGCATCAAATCACTGGCATATTAACTATCAAAACATGTTTATGACTGCATAAATGTATTATTGCTTTAAAAAAAAGTCACATATTCTGCATTTCTATTATACACAATTTGTACTAAAGCGATCTAAAAAGTTCATATCAATAAGTTTTCTCTTTGCACCACCAGGTGGCAGTCTTTGTACTTTCATTTCGAGAGTGCAGATTGCATAAGTTTTATTAATATGTATAACTTAATTTTTTTTATTAATAACTATAACTTTATATATATAGTTAAAAATATATACAATTTTCCCAAGTGTATATAACTAATACTGTAAGAAAATATCAGAATTGGGAACATACTTACTGTATTATCTTTGCTTGAACTGAGCCGATCTAATCCTGTTTATATGAATTGAACCTGCTCCCGATCAGGTTTGACCTAGCAGAACTGTTGCTATGACAACAACTCTCGGATCAGCTTTGAAGAACGAAACGATCCTGGATCGTGTCAAATCGTCAATATCCAAATCCAGCTAACTGAGTAATCCAGGAACGGACCCCAGGAAGTGTCTGTTAGGATGTAATAAATCTCCCTTTCCCGCATCTTTCTGAATGAAATGCCTACTTCACTACATCCAATCAGCTCGCAGTAGAAAAAACAAGCCACGCCCACTGTTATCTCATTTAATGTTCAGTTTCTCTAGGACCTGCGTCACAATATAGAGAAGAAAAACCCAGCATGAACCAGAAGCTGCGACCACTGTTTTTGTGCGTGTATATGATTAGATGTTGTAAAGTCAGACGCCCAAGTTTTATTTACGATGTTTTTGTGATTTTTCGCAATTAAAAAAAATTTTGTGGTGGTAATTCCCAGAAATCAGTGGATAATTTAGCTATTAAAAAATATAAATATTAAAAATTAAACAGGCGAGGCAGTGGCGCAGTAGGCAGTGCCATCACCTCATAGCAAGAAGGTCGCTGGTTTGAACCTCGGCTCAGTTGGCGTTTCTGTGTGGAGTTTGCTCAGGGTGCTCCGGTTTCCCCCACAGTCCAAAGACATGCGGTACAGGTGAATTGGGTAGGCTAATTTGTCCGTAGTGTATGAGTGTGTGTATGTGTGTGTGTGCATGTTTCCCAGATATGGGTTGCAGCTGGAAAGGCATCCGCTGCCTAAAAACTTGCTGGATAAGTTGGCGGTTCATTCCGCTGTGGCGACCCCGGATTAATAAAGGGACTAAGCCGACAAGAAAATGAATGAATGAATGAATGTTTGGGTTTTTACAAAAATCTGGTTTAATTCCAACAGCTCCTTTAGAATATCTTTCCTAGAAAAAAACAACATGAGGTGTTCAATACTTATTTCCCCCACATCAGTTGACCAAAAAAAAAAAAAAAAAAAAAAAAAAAAAATCGGTGAAAATCTTCCCAAAAAACTCCACATTGATGTAAAAACATTCTTTAAATTGCATTCAAGCTTGATTCACAGCTGTGTTTTATTTCAGAGTATGAAATGTGATGGCTAAGCAGTGCTTTGTTGCACTGTTGTCTTGATTTATCGTTCACATTTTCAGGTCAAGACTACATTTTCTTTGCTCGTCTCAGCAAAGCACTCTGGAAAAATGAAATCTCAGCGCAGTATATAATGTCACTGCATTTTTACCTACAGCCTTCATTACTTTGAGCTGGAGAATTGGCAGAGTTTATCACTGCAGGATACAAACCATAAGAAAAATCTCTCCTTTTTTTTTAGTTTCGGAAGGTGTGCTGAATAAACAAAATGAGTAATAACTTAGATCAGGGTTGGCCAACAAAGATCACTGTCTTGCTGGATGTCTACCCTGGTTTCATCTTCATCATCCTGCTAATGTAGATGTTGGACTGAAGCCGCTAATATTCATTCACTATATGACGAAGGGCAGAGGGTTGCTTAAGAAGTACTGAGAGAGTTCCTGGAGAGCCACCTTCCTGCAGATTTCAGTTGCTACCCATATCAAACACACCTGAACCAATTAATTAGGACCTGAACACCACATGATAATTACAGGCAGGTGTGTTTGATATGGGTTGCAACTGAAATCTGCAGGAAGGTGGCTCTCCAGGAAC